TCCGTGAGGTAGGGTGAGGTTTGACATTTTTAGGGTCGACGTTTTCTAACCCTTCCTTCCTTGTGAGAAGACAGCATCACTGCAGATGCTGGTTGTTTGAGGGAAACACCTTGCTGCTGTCATTACACCCCTCTGCAGTCAGCAGTACGACTTCGCCCTCAGACCTTGAGTAGCTGCTTTTAGTCTCATCGTCCTCCAATCGACCTACCTTCGGGAACATAAGTTCCAGCCAATATATCTCGGTTGGGTCATCACGATAGGCAAGCCCGACCACCACGTCAAGGTAGCAGCTTCTGTCGGGGTAGGAATCGAATAAAAAAAACGATCATGAGGAAAGTAGAAAATTATGATCTGAGAGAACACGAAGAATGATGGATGCACCTGCTCGATTACAAATGATTTTGATCCATGTTATTCAAGATCTCTAACCATCGGATTACTATCATCTCGCAGACCAAGTGATCAGTTAATGATAAATAATGAAACTGAAAACAGGTTCACTGCTATCCAATGAATTTAACTATTTATTTTGATATGATGATCATATTGTGGTGTGAGCTACTTATAAGTAGTATATGACGTGAGTGTCAACGTAATGTCTGGCAGCAGAAGATGGGGAAAGCTCAAGAAAGGAAGAGTTAGAAGAACACAATGCAATTTGTATGAAACGCATGAATAGTGACAATGGATTGATGTTTTGCAACAGGAACAGTCCAGTTATATATCATGAACTGATATTTTGCAAATGAACGATTTACGATATGGTTTTCTGATTTTACTGAGTAATCCGGTTGCCCCACTTGTATTCTCCTTCACTACAATATGATTTATAATTGTGATTGTATTACAATATTTTTTGGTACATTGATAATTTTTGAATTTAATCGTTTCATTTCACTACTTGGTATTGTTGACCAATCAAGACATTTGAATTCAGTAGTGGTTTTAGCTTGAAAACGTTTATTCAACTTTGCTTCGAATTCTTCAATTTCTTGATCAAGATTCATTTTAGATTTGACTTGATTTTCATCAGGTTTTGTTTGAACAGGTTTAGTTCTTTTTCTAGGACGTTGATAATAAAATAAAGTAAAAAGAGAATAATTTGTTTTAAAATAATTATTGGTTTAGATATAAGCACTTTAAAACAAACTATTCACGGTTCAATTGATCATTCGTTTGTTTGATTTGCGTCAAAATGAATCTTAACAATTTGTCAATTAGAGTTATGGAGATTAGTGATTGTTGTACACTGAAATCATCAATCAATCATTGTTAGACTACAATTAGAAACCTCGAAGTATTGGACAGTCGTTTTGTGGTCCCGTTATGGGACTCATCAGCAGTGCGCATCCACTCTACTGCTACTCGGAAGATTCAAACACAGGGCCTTCATTCTTGCACGCGAACGCATAACCTCTGGACTACTGGGCCGGTATCAAACAGTGTTAATGTCTAAATCTGATAAATCTACAGATTTTTCGCGACCCCACCCATTTGTCTTTGGTAGTTACTGCCTTCATTTGACAGGGTTGAACTCCACTGGTCACGTCCTCTCACGAGAACTCCGAGAATTTCCTCACGAAGCTAGTCGCTAGTAAGTTAGACATTAACACTGTTTGATACCGGCCGAATGGTCCTGAGGTTAGGCGTCCGCGTGCAAGAATGAAGGCCTTGTGTTCGAATCTTCCGAGTATCAGTAGAGTGGATGCACACTACTGATAAGTTCCATACTAGGACGAAACGGCCGTCTAATGCTTCAAGGTTCCAAATGTGGTCTAACAATGACTGATTGGTGATTTCAATGTGCAAAGAATATTAACAATCATTGTGAAGTTGATTTTTCTATATTCTGAAGAATAGAGTGAATATAGATCACCCAGTGCATTTAAAAAAATGAATATTTAAAGAAATTTGGACGATTTATAAAAGTAATTTTATAACTATCTACTTTAGCTAAAATGATACTCAGTTGGGCATTAATAATAGTCATGAAAAAAGGATATTAAATGAAGAACTAGAAAAGAATTATATTGATGAAAATCTTGTGTATAAAGAAGGTCTGTTTATACAATTGAGGCCTGAAATTACTGAATCAGAGTTCTGGAGTAAACAACAACTCTGAGATGCAGGTACATCCAACTGGAAAAGAACAAAACAGAACGAAACGCGTGTTGTGTATTCTATTCTATGCCCATCTCTTCTATATGAACATAAGTAATATTCTGCTCTGGTCGGTGCTGAATCGAATCCTGTGGAGAATATCACATGCCCTAAAACAGAGAATACCCCCTACTACATCTTTGTCAGGGAAAAGATTAGAGAAATGGAAACTTCCAAGACTGATTTATGGATTATTACTGTGTATAGTCTTATTGTATCTAGATTACATATTATACAAATATGTTCCTTTTATTACGATCTTCTGATTAACTCATTAAATACTGTTATGTGATTTATTATTCCTAACCTAAAGTCTCTCCTACTAACTGTCAACTTTGGCTTGCTCAAGTATAAATGTATATTCTCATTTTATAGTGTGATATGGTCCAGTACGTTTTGTTTGATAAACTGCGTGCTTGAAATATAACGAATTTTGAGGAGGCTGGCTATGGAATTTTGGACTTAAGTTCAGATTAGAAAGAAATAAACTATCGAGCTACGGACCAATAAGGATTTAGCACTCACTCGATGTTACTGAAGCTAAAACGTAATTCTGATTGGTGTTTTGTATTTGTCACGTGATATTGGTCAACGATTAGGGAATACAACAATTACAAATAACAATTAACATTCAAACACTAGGAGGTATACAATACAACTTAATTGACAGAATTCAATTATCGTTCAGATATTGATTATTATTAATCAGTAATCATTATGAATATTTGGCAAATAATTTTAAGTCTTTTTGAAGTTTAGAAGTAGAATCGTCAGAGTAACAAATTCATGAATAAAGCCATCGAAAATTAACTGAAATAAAATTACATATTTGAAATCATCAGTCGATCAACGTTAGACCACCATTAGAAACCTAGATGCACTGGACTGTCGTTTCATCCTGCGATAGAAATCATCGGCAGTGCTCATCCATGACTCCTACATCTCACGGGATTCTAAACTAGGACTTTCGGGCTTGCGCGCGAATGCTTAACCTGTGCAACCTCATACACTGTCTTCGGTAGTTACTATCTACACCCGAAAAGGTTGAACTTCATTGGTCACGACTTCACACTAGAACTCGGAGAAGATTCCTTACGGAACTAGTCACTAGTGAGCACAGGTAATTGCATAACGAGGTTGTGAAGATTACTACATTACACATTTAAAATCATGAATCGATCAGTTGAAATGTTCATGAACCCTTTTATCATATAATGAAAGGTTGTTAACAGAAGTTCTACAATTAGAGTCGGATCTAGTTTAATTTGAAAAGATAAAATGTGATCAATTAAAGCCTAGCAGCTATTCACTGGAAAATAATGAAAAATATTCACCTTGAACTTTCATTTCCACATCTCACGAATATTAACGCTGATTTGTATTCGCTTAATTTACTGGTCTAGAGGTTAAACGTTCATGTATGAGACCAATGTCATATGCTCGATTCCAGTTTGCGGGTGTCGTAGATACTCACTATCAAGGAGTCCTATGCAGGAATAAAACGGCTGCCGATTGTATCTAGGTTTCTAATGATGGTCTGGCTTAGATTAGCTTGTGATTGCAACTACGAAGTTATACAAGTAGCAATTTGATGCATCGATCTGTAAAAACTGTTTCTATGTGAACTAATTGAACAAATAAACAATTAATTTTAGAGAAATTGTGTCAATTAAAACAAACCTTTTACTTGATTGATCCTTACTAAATGTTGGATGATATCCAGTTTTTGATTTAATCGACTTAAATTGATTTCCTAGTATTTCATTTTTATTCAAAACAGTCAATGTTGAATGTGAAGTTAGTAGAGAAGATTTAAAGTCAGACTGTAAAGCAACAGGATTTCCAAGCAAATTAAGTTCACGAAGAAAATGCATTCTTGATAATTCTTTGTTGATTTCCTAAAATAATAGGTCATATATGTATATAAATATATGTATATAAAGGGAATCAAATTTTCATTTATATTTCTGGGTCACTGAGTAATGAACGATGTCATGAAACATGGCCGTCAAGAGTAGAGGACTTTCGTAGGTTACTCGTATTCGATCATAGGTGTATCCTAAGCATTGCTCGTGTATCCTGCGACAACTGTATAAGCAATGCTGCCATTAGAAAGCGAGTACTAGGTAAGGATGGCAAATCAATAGATGAAGTGGTGAAACTTCATCAGTTCAGGTGGTTGGGACATATGTTACGTATGGCTAACCACCGACTGCCTCGACGAGCTATGTTTTGTGGTGTAGGAGTAGGTTGGAAGAAAGTTGTGGGTGGCCAAACCAAAACGTGACAGGAATTCATGAAGTTACTGACAAGTGGACTGAGTCATGTTGGTAGATGTAGGCTAGCTGGTTGGGGTCCGCGAGATGAATGTCACCAATGGTTAGAGACATTGAACGACATGGCTCAGAATCGTTTACAATGGCTCAGGTGCATCCATTCTTTGTGTTCTCTCTAATTCTAACCTAAAATTCCTCATCATCTCTATCTTTCTCTTTCTGAACTTATCTAACAGAATTATACTTCTCGAATCATATCTTTGCTCACTAATCTACTGCATTGCTGCTAATAATTCTGCTATCACTATCACTCTTGGATTTGAACTGACAATTACGTCTGTGTGCTGACGTGGTATGGCAACCTGAACTGATGTACTTATGTACGAAGTTCTGCGTTGTATCTGTCTGTCTGTCTGTCTGAACGATGTCATGTCTGACTTATAGTATTCATCACATCTCATCTTCATAGCCAATAAACTAAATAAGTTGACATCGTATAGGATGTGCTTCAGTATTGATTCGTAGGAAGCAATCAAGAGGATGCTACCTAAGTAACTACTTTATATTAGTTAATCTTTTCTTTAGTCAATTAAGCAAACATAAAAAGCGAATTTCATTATAATCTTTTATCAATCAAAAAGCTATTGGAAACTATACCGTTATAGGTTATAAGATTTTCAGCGGTGTGTATCTTTGACGCTCAGTAGATTGACTTCAAAACAATGAAGTTTCACGCTGAGTACAATGTCACCAATTATTCGAAATGCAATCATCTATGTTTTTTTTACTCCAATCATTTTGTGATGATTTTATCAGAGTTGTACTTTCCTAGTTGGATTACTTCTTTTAGACAAACAACATCATCATAAACTTTTGGTAGAGGCAAGCTAGCATCGTTTTTATATTCATGACTAAAAGCTTGTTTTTGGATTAGTTGTTGTCGATACTCGTAATATGTTTTTCTGAGTACTTATTTTGGTTGTTTCTCCTTTTGATCTGAATTTTGACCTTGAAGTTAGTTGATCAGAATTTTCTTAATTTGTCAATAAATCGTATCTATAACAACATGTTTATTCACAGCTAATCAATCTGGATGGCCAGCTTCTAGAATTTATTTGGTCTTCTAGATGGTGTCTTTATTTTACAGTTCAACATTTCCCAGTCGTGGATACTAACTGCTGATGAGTCCAATACCAGGACGAAACGGTCTTCCAGTGCTTCCAAGTTACTAATCGCGGTCTGACATTGATCAGTTCATGGTTTCGAATGTGTTTTTACCATTTTCTGCATATACTGATATCAATGACGATACATTGTGGCCTTGGACAACTAAAATTACAGAGTTACTCAGTAAAATCGGAAAACCGTATCGTAAATCGTTCATTTGAAAAAATATCAGTTCGTCATATCGAACTAGACTGTTTCTGTTGCAAAACATCAATCCATTATCACTATTCATGCGTTTCATACAAATTCCATTTGGTGTTCTAACTCTTCCTTTCTTGATCTTCCCCCATCTTCTGCTGTCGGACATTAAGTTGACACTCACGTCATATACTACTTATAAGTAGCTCGCACCACACTATTCCTCATTATCTCAATCGTTACGTTATAATTTCCTCTGTGTTGTTTATTCATGACAGAATGTCGCATTTTTTTGTTTGATGAACATTTCTATTGAGGTTTATGTTGAAAGACAGTCATTCTGTATTTTCCTGGTTTCTCCTTATAGTATGTTTACTGTAAGGTGTTTTCACTCTTTTGAATTACGTTTAAACTCATCTGATTGGGTTGTTGTTAATGCAGTCGCAAATTTGTTCATTTTGACTTGAATTCCTATACACCTGATTGATCAGCTTTACTCTGTTGGTTTTAGTTGTCTGAGCCTCTGAGTTTGATGCTTGACTCATTCAGGGTGGATTTTATGTCGTTAACGTTTGAGATGAAAATTGTTATGATGTATGGCATCTGAACTTGATACGATCTAACCGCCACTCCATAAGTGAGTGGGATAGGAACTATATTTCGCTACGTGATTGTGTGCATAAATACTCATTTATATAAATACATTTCTCTACTTGAAGAATCAACCCTTTTCTTGACCAATGGTATGCATTTGACCTTTAGAACATTTGTAATTGAGTGACCTTCTTATCTGGTTGTCCTGATTGGCTAATTATATCACAGATGACTTCTACACATAACGAACGATCAATCGTTACTGTCGCATATTTCATACCAATAGCCACAAGCATATTAAATTTCTTTAACATAATAATTGTTTGAAAATACATCATTAATACCAGATGAGAAACGAGTGATTCATTGATCAAATTCTAAATGTTACCACTACATGAAAACACGTACAATCTACTTCTAAGCATTGAAATCATAAATCAATCGTTGTTAGACTGGCATTAGCCCTGATATGAGACTCATCAGTAGCACTGAGCATCAACGACTCCTGAACCTCGCAGAATTCAAACCTTGGACCTTCGGTCTTGCGCGCGAACGCCTAACCTCTGGACCACTGGGCTGGCATACAAAAATGTTAATGTCTAACTCTGATCAGTCTACAGACTTAGTGCTACCTCACCCATTTGTCTCTGGTAGTTACTGCATATACCTGACAGGGTTGAACTCTACTGGTCACGTCTTCTAACTAGAACTCCGATAATTTCTTCACGAAGCCAGTCATCACTAGTTAGCACATTTTTTTTTTTAATTATTTTTAATTAGAGTTGTGGAGGTTAGTATTTTTACACACTGAAATCATCAATCAATCATTGTTAGATTACCATTAGAAATTTGGAAGCACTGGACGGCCGTTTCACGGCTTTGGTATGGGAGTCATCAATAGCACTAAGCATCCACGACTCCTGCACGTCGCAGGATACTAACCCAGGACCTACAGTCTTGCTGTCATTTCGTCCTGGCATCGGACGTGGATACGCACTGCTGATGAGTTCCATACCATGGCCACGAAACGGCCGCCCAGTGATCCCAGGTTTCTAATGATGGTCTAACAATCATTGATTGATAATTTCAAATGTGCACAAAATACTATTCTCCATAACTCTAATTAACAATCTACTTTGTTGTTTTATCGCACACGCAACAACAAATGTAAGAGAAGACAACCAGCGTAGCAGCAGTAGCAGGTCTCAATATACATAAAGGAAAAAGCAAAATTCTCCGATGCAACACAACATGCACAAACCAAATCACTCTTAATGGAGATGCCTTGGAGGACGTTAACACCTCCTTTAAATATCTGAGCAGCATCATCGACAATCAAGGTGGATCGGATGCAGATGTGAAGGCACGGATTGGCAAAGCAGGGGCTGCATTTCTACAGTTGAAAAATATCTGGAACTCCAAATAACTTTCAACCGAAGCCAAAATCACGATTTTCAATACAAATGTGAAGACAGTTCTACTGTATGGAGCGGAAACATGGAGAACTACCAAAGCCATCATCCACAAGATACAAGTGTTTATGAACAGTTGTCTACGCAAAATACTTCGGATTCGTTGGAGTGACACGATCAGCAACAACGTACTGTGGGAGAGAACAAACCAGATTACAGTGGATGAGGAAATCAGGAAGAAGCGGTGGAAGTGGATAGGACACACATTACGAAAAGCACCGAACTGCATCACAAGACAAGCCCTCATTTGGAACCGTCAGGGCAAAAGGAAAAGAGGAAGGCCAAAGAATACATTACGCCGAGAAATGGAGAAAGACATGAGAGAAATGAACAAACATTGGACAGAACTGGAGAGGGAAGCCCAGGACGGAGTTTGTTGGAGAAAACTTGTAGGCGGCCTATGCTCCATTGGCGGTAACAGGCATAAGTAAGTAAGTAAGTAATTGTAAATTCTTAACTTACTTTCAAATTGTCTAAATGATTTTCTGATAAATCTAATATTTCAAGACAATGTAAATTATATAATTGTCCATTAATACTATGTAATTGATTTGATCGTAATCGTAATTCTAATAAATTTTGACATTTTATTAAACAATTATTTAATTGTTTAATTTGATTATTATTTAACCATAAACATCGTAGATTTGGTAAATTACCGAAAACATTTTCATTTGGTATACATTTTAATTGTAAATTTGATAAATTCATATCAGTTAATAAAAACCAAATATTTCGCGGACAATTTGAATGTTTTATTTGATAAATATGACGTACAAAATCTTCTAAACGACATTTGATAGCTTGAATTAAATGTTCAATGTTCAATTGTTCAATAGGATTATGAAGTGAATTTTTAAAATTTTCTAAATAATTCACTGGATTAACAATGTACATTGTTCAATTTCCCCAGTGTTAAGAAATTGTTTTAAATTTTCGCTAGAAATTTATTTTGTTTATATCAGCTTATTTAAATAAAAAATCACTAGGACAACATCAATAATAATATCCAATAAAATGACATCAAATTTATGCTAATTAGCTAATCACTTTTTTTTTGTAAAAACACAATGTACTTTAACTTTGAATAATGGTTCAAAAAAAAAGTTCTTATTTTTAAGGTCTTATTGATAGAAAGTGATCAGAAAGGATGATCTTTATTTTCTTTACTAAGCTAACTAGTTACTTACTTGCTTACGCTTGTTACCGCCAATGGAGCATAGGCCGCCAACCAGTTTTCTCCAAACAACTCTGTCCTGGGCTGCCCTTTCTAGTTCTTTCGAGTTTTTCTTCATTCTTCTCATGTCTTTCTCTGTTTCTTGGCGTAGTGTGTTCCTTGCCCTTCCTCTTTTCCTTTTGCCTTGAGGGTTTCATGTGAGGGCTTGTCTCGTGACGCAGTTAGGTGCTTTCCGCAGTTTGTGTCATATCTACTTCCACCGCTTCTTTGTGATTTCCTACTTCACTGAAATATGGTTTGTTCTCTCCCACAGTAAGTTGTTGCTGATCGTGTCACTCCAACGAATCCGAAGTATTTTGCGTAGACAGCTGTTAATAAACACTTGTATCTTGTGGATGATGGCTTTGGTAGTTCTCCATGTTTCCGCTCCATACATTAGAACTGTCTTCACATTTGTATTGAAAATGCTGATTTTGGTTTCGGTTGAAAGTTGTTTGGAGTTCGAGATATTTTTCAACTGTAGAAATGCAGCCCTTGCTTTGCTGATCCGCGCCCTCACATCTGCATCGGATCCACCATGATTGTCAATGATGCTGCTCAGATATTTAAAGGAGGTGTTAACGTCCTCCAAGGCATCTCCATCAAGAGTGAACTGGTTGGTGCATGTTCTGTTGTAACGCAGAATCTTACTTTTCCCTTTGTGTACGTTGACACCTACTACTGCAGAGGCTGCAGCTACACTGGTTGTCTTTTCTTGCATTTGTTGTTTTGTGTGTGATAGAAGAGCCAGATCATTTGCGAAGTCCAAATCGTCCAGCTGCGTCCTAGCTGTCCATAAACTAACTAGTTACTAATCTTTTTTCTTGATAGACTTTTATAAAGAATTAATTTCAAACGAATTGAACATTGAATACACTTTTAATAAAAAAAAATTAATAGACTATTTATTGAAATAATCACATATTTAATTCTGTTCATTCTACGTAACACTAACAAATTGTGGTGTTATTATGCAAAATAATAAATATTCCGTTAATACGTAACTATGTAATTATAGATTTAGTACAATACATTTGTACAAGTTCACTGCGTTCTTTGTGTTACAATTCTGATCCATTCGAGGCTAATAGTGTTTGTATTGATTAGATTTGAGAATTAATAGTTCCCGTATTTTGAATAATCTTAAAAGCATACGAACTTTTTTATAATTAACTTTCCATATTAGAAACACAATATATTTTCTTTCGCTCACTAATATTTTGGTGTGTGCTACTTATACGAACGATATAAGTAGTATAGTATAAGAAGGGACGTGAAAGAAGAAGAGTTCGCACGGTCATAAGAGGAAAACGGAAAGCAAATGGAGCGTGAGCAAGAAGTAAATGGAGTACCAACAGGAATGGAAGAAAGATGGAGTGTTCGAAGTCACGATTCAAAGATGGTGTGCAAATAGAGTATTCAATGTCATGTTTTCGTTTTTAACTGACTCAGAGTGTAAATTTGCATAATACAATCTTCCTCGCCTGCCTCAGTCTTCTCAATATGTATACATAATTACGTGCAGATAAATCACATACAGAATCACGTTCATCTGATGAGCATTAAAAAATCTGACGTGAACGGCACTGTTAAGATATTCATCCAATATTCTATTGGTCAGTCTAATTCTATTGGTCAATTCCTATTGGCTAATTCCTATTGGTTGTCTTAACTATCATTGTCACATATTTCATATGTTGTTTCCTATTGGTCGTCCTAACTAATTATGTCACATATTTCACTGTTGTTTTCTATTCGACCTAACTGCATAAATATGCATTGTCTGTAACGTTTTATGAGCCGTATACTTAGTCCAGGATCCTTGTTCTCCTCTGGACTCGGACATCATATTTTCTGGGTATTTGTAGAATACACATTCTACTTCACATCAAGTCTTCTTCTTTTATTCAATGGGGGTTTAGGATAGTCGGATTAGAATAGCCTGTCGTGTATAATAATTAAAGACAATCATTAGAAACCTGGAAGCACTGGACGGCCGTTTCGTCCCTGGGGTTGTGGATGCGCACTGCTGATGTGTCCTATACCAGGACGAGACGGCCGTCCAGTGCTTCGAGGTTTCTAATGGTGATCTAATAATGATTGGTTGATGATTTCAAATGTGTAATACACATTTCCTGATTTTTTTAATCAGTAACTTGAAATAATGAATGATCTGTTGAGATAAATTTTATGAATATTTTCTAAAATTATAATAAATTAGATAGAAATTCACTAGTAAAACAATCAAAAAATAATCATTAGAAAAAGAATAGAGAATTTCTGAATAGATTTTCTTACTATTTACGAGTAGTTTTGTAATTTAACTAAGAAAATAAAAAAAATGTTTATGAAAACTGATTCACAGGTGGATACTTACTATTGAAATTTTAGAAGTAAGAAATTATGTGCTTGGTTTTTGTTCTGATTGGGGATTGCTTAATACTTAGTGATATTCCAAAACCTCATTAAGGATCGGACCTAGAACTTCCAGGTTTCATAGTCAGTGTGTTCTCCTTACTTTATTGAGTTGAGGTTTCTGTCATGATTTGAGATTGGTGTTAAACTCCTAAAACTAGCTACTTGAGCGAAAAGGTAAGACTGGAATGTGAAGTCTATTCAGCTGCTGAATCATAAGTACAAATACTCTTCTACATAGATATTTCCCGACTCCTTGACATATGATATGCATTTGTCCTGTGAGTCATTTATTAGTCAGTAAGATGCAACGTAGAACTTCGTACGTAAGTACATCAGTTCAGGTTGCCATACCACATTAGCACAGAGACGCAACTGCCAATTCAAATCCCATAGTGGTAGAGATAGTAGGAGTACTACTGGTAATAGAGAAGATTAGGGTTCAAAGATATTATTCAAGAAGAATAATTCATTGAGATAGGTTTAGAAAGCCAAAAGTAGAGGTGTTGACGAATACAGATGATTAGGATTTGAGAGAATACAAAGAGTGGATGCACCTGCGCCATTGCAAACGATTTTGAGTCATGTCATTCAAGGTCTCTAACCATCGGTTACTATCGTCTCTCGGACCCCAACCAGATAACCTACATCTACCAACATGACTCAGTCCACTTGTCAGTGACTTCATGGATTTGTGCCATGTTTTGGTCTGGCAGCCCTTAACTTTCTTCCAACCTACTCCTACACCACAAAACAAAGCTCGTCGAGGCAGTTGGTGGTTGTGAATTCGTAACACCTGTCTCAACCACCTCAACTGATAAAGTTTCAATACTTCATCAATTGATCTGCCATCCTTATCTAGTACTCACTACCTAATGACAGCATTGCTTACTCAGGTATCCCACGATACACAAACAATGCTTCTAAGACATCTGTGATCGAATACTAGTAACCTACGAATATCTTCCGCTCTTACCGGCTATGTTTCGCATCCGTATATTAGGACGGAGCGAACTGCTGCACAGTACACTCGTCCCATAGTCCACAAACAGATATCTCGCTTACGCCATAAATGACGTAAATAGGCAATAGGCAATTGTGCTTTCCGTATCCGTGCTGAGATTTCGTCAGTCACCAGGCCATGAGGCATTTATGATGGTCATTAAATGGCCTCCCATTCCAGCCATCTCTAACTAACTTTCAATTCTAGTTTCTCACTTTATTCACTTAGTGTTGTTGTGGGACTATCAATTAATGTCATAAGTAGGTAATACTACTTACTTACTCACTCACGCCTGTTAGCCCCGATATAGTATAGTCTGCTGACCAGTATTCTCAAACCTACTCTGTCCTGAGCTTCCCTTGACAGTTCTGTCCAATTTTTGTTCATTCTTCTCATATATTTCTCTATTTCTCGGTGTGATGTGTTCTTTGGCCCTCCTCTTTTCTTTTTACGTTGAAGGTTCCATGTGAGAGCATGTCTTGTGACGCAGTTGGGTGCTTTTCGCAGTTTGTATCCTATCCACTCTCACCACTTCTTCCTGATTTCCTCCCCTTCTTGAAATTGGCTTGTTCGCTCCCACAATAGATTGTAGCTCAGTTGGATGACTGTAGTGATTTTTCGTTCTCTGAGCTGGATGTTTTCGTTGTGGAGCTTTCATTGTTCTTCTGTTGCTTTGTGTGCCACACCTATTCCAAATGGATAGCCATTCTTTTGGAAGATAGTCATTAGATATTTTTCTTCATTTCTTTGCACTTCAAGTGTGCTGCAGTGTGTGATCGCTCTCTTGAACAATGTTTGTACGCAGCTGATTTTGTGAGTTCTTGGGTTATTGCTACTGTAGTTGAGAATTAGTTCTGTATGGGTTGGCTTCCGAAATACTTGAGTCTCCAGTTTTCCTATATTAGTTCTGATGATAAGTATATCCAGGAATGATAGACTGCTGTTTGATTCCTTTTCTATGGTGAATTTTATGTCATCGAAGACATTGTTGATCCGATTGTAGATGTTATCCAGCTCGTTCCTTTTAATAATGACGAATGTGTCGTCTACATAACGAACCAACAATTTTTGGCTTAATGACTGGTGTATAAATCAGGAACTTGGAGAAAACCATCAATCCAAAATATACATGGATTTATGAACTGTTGTCTACGCGAGATACTGCATTCCTGTTGGTCAGACACGATCAACAGCAACTTATTATAGGAGAGAACAAACCAGATCCAATCTGAGGAAGAAATCAAGAAGAAGAGCTGGAGGTGG